CAGAGAACTTGCGCTCTCAGCCTAGCGCATACACAAAGACGGGACACTGACCGGAGCACGCCGGACATCCTGAGAGTAAGAGCAGAAGAGCTCTCAGAGCGCATGCTGGACAGCAGAGAGGGGCCGAGACCGCTGTGGCAGCAGTCCAGGCGCTCTAGTGACTGGGCAGGACTGGACAGAGGTGTGAAGTGTCTCCAGCAGAGCGGCGGCAAGACTAGGGAAGACTAGCGGGTGCTGTCAGCATTGGGCTCACGGACGTCAGGAGACACCCCTACACGTGACCCACCATCAGGGCAGCCTGGCAGGTGTGCCGCAGGCCTGTGCTGAGGAAGGAGCAGGCAGAGGGCCGGCACCGGGTGTGGCCCGAGGCAGACTTGCCCTACCCTCAGGGTTTGTGGAAACTAAGCTTCCTTGTTTTTTGTTTTTTTAGCAAAATGTGAACCAACAAAACCCAGTGGAGGGTTTGGGCCCAGCCCCATGACTGCTAGCCCACAGAGGCCCTGAAGAGCCGACCCTACGCAGGGAACCGGATCAGGCCGGGGCGGCGGCACCCGCACCCGCACTTACGTAGGTGACTCCGGTGAGCCTCTTGGCCAGGTGGTAGAAGGCGCCGTGGATGTAGAACCAGGAGATGTGCAGCCGGTGGAGGCAGCCCAGGCCTGCCTGAACACCAGCACGGCCCTCAGCAGCGCCCTCCTCTGCGGCTCCGGCAGGGCCGCCACCTGCCTGTGCACCCAGCGCCCTGGCTCGCGACCGGCCTCTCGCGCTGGGTGCCAGGCTGCCCGGCGCCGGGCGGGCGCCATTGCCATCGGCCTGCAGCTCCTGCTCCAGGTGGAGCAGGGCCTTGTCCAGCACGTAGGGCAGGACCGTGTGCAGCGCGACCAGCACGCCGCGGCGCAGCCTCAGGGGCACCTGCCTCCGGGACGGGTCCACCTGGATGAGCCCCACGTACTCCTCGCCGAGGGTCTGGTAGCCTGGGGGTGGGGGACAGCCACGGGAGGCTGAGGCAGGTCTGAGTTCGCCGAGCCCCCCTTTCTTCGGAAGGACGGGCTCCCCCGACAGGCTGTGCCAGGCCCCTCTCGGGCCACAGGCTCAGCCACGGAGAAGCGTCTCCACGGCACCGGCCAGGCCCAGGAGAAAGGTCCCAGGGACACAGGATGAAAGGAGGACACCCACGCGACAGGCGAGCGGAATCGGGGCTCCCAGAGGCCCTGGTGGGCTCAGGGCCTGGCCTCCCCTCAGGAGAGGGTGGGGAGCTTCAGACTCCGCCGTCAGCCCCCTCCCGTCCTCCGCGCTTGGCGTGTGTTGTGGCCCCGGGTCCGAGGTCCCCCCGCGAGTACCTGCCAGCGTGGTGAGGCCGAAGTAGGCCACGTCCGACAGCAGCTCGAGCTCCTTCCTCCACTCCAGCCACTTCTTGGCGCCTGAGAGCAGCAGCACCGTTACCGGCGGGGCTCAGGGGAGGCCCCGCTGCCCAGGCCCAGCACGACCACCTGCCCTCGAGGCCGAGACTGTCCTAAACGCGCCCCCTCCCCTCCCCGGCCTCGGCGGCCCACTCTGCTCCCCCTGCTCCTGCCTGGCCTGGGCCACCGCGTGAGTCCATCTCCCCGCAGGACCTGCCTGGGGGTGTCCTGGCGCCCGGAGCCGCAGAACAGACGGGGTAACAGACTGAGTCATGGCCTCGGGCAGCTCCAGGGTCTTCGGACCCAGGGGCTCAGCCTCACTCCACTCGGATGGACCCAAGAAAACAGGCTTCTCGCTGCAGCACCTGGGGG